TCTCCTCCCCTTCCACTCTTCTCTGCCTCCTCCTTTTTGCCCCCTGCCTTTACTGCTGAGCACACTTTTCCTTTCCATTCTTGTTTTCTCTTTTCCTCCCTCCTCCCCTTTCTCTCTTCCCTTCTCTCTGTCTCGGGGGCCGGGGGGGGGGGGCTCTCCTCAGGCGCCAGCGGTCTATACCCATTAAACTTGACAGTCTCGCACATGGTAGAAAGAGATGGCTTCCCCCTGCCCCCTCCTTTCCTGGGCTCGCCGCGATGCTCAGATCAAGCACCATCTGTTGCATTCATCCAGGCAACGGGTGAGCATTTTGCTGCTCTAGGGAGGCAGAGCTCAGCGGGTACCAGGAGGTAGCGTGGCTTGTTTGGACAACGTGATATATGGATATTGATAGAACTACTGAAAGGGATCAGAGGGTTGGGGGTGGGGGAGAGCGGGAGGCAGGATGCGATAGCCCACGGAGGGGCTTGTACAGGCACTTCCCCTGTAAGTCTGGGCTCCCGGCACTGCCGCCCCAGCAAGAACAGCCAAACAGATGGATGAGATTTGCTACAGTCCCGATCAGAAACCCTTGCAGCTCAGAGGAGCAAACCTTCCCTCCCCGTGTCTGCCTCTCCTTCTAGCCAGTCCAGTCTGTGTCCATTTAGGAGAAAAGAAAGCAGAAATAGCAGGATGAGAAGAGGCTGATCTTTAGGATTGGTGAATGTCAGAAGCATGACAGAAAGGGATGCTGTATCAGTCAAGGTCTCAGCTGGACAAAGAAGGCACCTTCAAATGAGACTTTAAGGAGAAACTCAACGAAGCGATTATTTATGGAGGCGTAGGCAGAGTGAAGAGAATCAGCATGAAGGTATGGAGGAACCAGGGACAGGAAATATCAGGAAGCCACTACTAACTCCTTGAACTGAAAGGACAGGGAGAAGAAATGGTTTTCCTGGAGCCTGTGAGGATGGGATCTGTAGACAGGGGCCCCTAGCAGAAGCTGTAATTGTCTAGTGTCCCAGACTCTCAGGAATAGGGTACAGAGACCAGAAAGGAGCAAGGGAAGACCTACTTCCAAATTCTTGCCTCCGGCCTCCTACATCCCACTGGGCAAAGCTAACTGATAGCCAAACAACAAGGAGCAGAGATGTGGTGCATAGAAGGTCTGCCTCCAGAACGTGGGGCGGGGCAGCATGAACCTGGGGTGGCAAGGGATCAGGGGGAGCAAATGGAGAACAGCCAGTACAGAGCAGGAATGAACACATGTTCCATTGTTTGCACTGTGCCGGAAGCTCATGTTCTCAACCACTACACATAGTGCTTCTGCACTTTAACAAGGAGTACATGTGTGGGGTCTCCATGGAGTCTAGTTCTCTCTTGTGAGTGTGAGACACGCATAACCTGCCATCTACTCAGCACCTCTACCTAGACGTCTGGAAGACACCATGTGTTCGTATCTCAGACCCAACTCGTGTTTTCAGTCCTCTGGAACGTGTGCTCTTCCAGGGCTCTCGTGGAGAGGTGCCTTCAGGTGACCATCATCTTGTGTGTGGACTGCTGCACAACTGCACCATTTGCTTGGTTGGTCTCCTCGCTTCCATTTCTGCCCCTCTCTCCATAAATTCTGCTCTGTGCTGCTGGAACGATCTTCCCTAAATGAAAATCTGATCAAGTCACTCTTCCGTCTGAAACCGTCCGCGGGTTCTGTCCTTGATAAGCTCCAGAAGGGTTAGGGTTGGTGTTGGGGTTAGGACTTCTGCCTCGCCAGCATGATCTCTTGCCGGTTGTTTTCAGTGTTTCAGGCCCAGTGAGTGGTGGAGCAGCCCCTTTCGTATTTCTTCTCCTCAAAGGGCTCTTTGGATTCTTCCCCCGACTCGTGTTCTTATCACCCACTGCTTCCTTCCTTCCTCATCACTTGATTCACTCATACTCTTTTCAGACCTTAGTCCCACTACGCATTTCTTGAAGTTAGTGTCCATGATGTGCCTAAACTAGGTCATATTCCACTAATAGAGCTTCTTATATCCTCTTTTATCTCTCATTTGTGCTATATATCACTTATAAAATTTTACATGTAGATGTCAGTCATTTCATTAATCTTGGTCTATCTTGTCTATATGGTGAGAATTAGGAGGGTTTTGGTGGTCTTTTCATCATTGTACCTTGTTCTGGACGGCACACTTGTGTCCCCCTCCCCCCCCCCCCAGAGTCCTATATTGAAGCCTTAACCTCGATGTGATCGTGGGTTGTCTACTTGGACTGACATAACAACATACTGTAGACTGGGGGGCTTAAACAATAGACATTCATGTTCTCATAGCTCTGGAGGCTGCAAGTCCAAGATCAAGACAGCAGCACAGTTGAGTTGTGGCTTGCAGATGGCTTCCTTCTCACTGTGTACCCACATGGCCTTTCCTCAGTGTACGTGTATATTAGGAGAGCAAGAGGAGAGAGAGTGATTTCTTCCTCTTCTTACAAAGACACCAATCCTATTGGATTAGGATCTCACCCTTATGGCCTCCTTTAACTTTAATTACCTATTAGAAACCCTGTCTCCAAATATAGTCACAATGGGGCTTACGGCTTCCACATATGAGATTTGGAAGGACACAGTAAAATCCACAGCAGACTGTATTTGGAGTAGATCTTTAAGAGGTCATTAAAATTAAATGAGATCATAAAGGTGGGCCCTAATTGGATAGGACTGTGGTGTTAGAAGAAGAGGAAGAGATCTCTCTCTTCCCCTCCCTCTTTCTCTCTGTCTCTGCATCTCTGCCTCTGGTTCTCTCTCCCTACCATGTACACAGGGAGAGTGTGACAGTCTGTGAGCCAAGAAGGGAGACCTCACTAGAACACAACAATGCTGGCATCCTGGTCTCAGCCTTCCAACCTCCAGAACTGTAGAACATAAATTTCTGTTAAGTAGCCCAATATATGACTTTTGTTATGATGGCCTGAGCTAAAACAACATTTCCTGTACTTGTCTCAGATACATTATGGTTTTTCTGAAAACAGTGTTGAATGGATGAATGAACGGACAGGAAGATGAATGAAGGCATGGGTGTTGGCGCACATGTATGGGTCTCTGGATTCCAGACTATAGCTTGCTCTAAACTCTTGACCACAGTATAGCCGAACCCTTACAATATGGGGCCAATCACTCTCATCTCTGGGTTAAAAGACTGGGCTTGGCAGTGATTCTCAGAATTTGGAGGGTAGCCTCTTGCTGGAGGGCTGTGCATCACAGGCTTGGGTAGGGAGTCCCATGTCTGGGATCTCCCTCGTGGTTTATCTTTAAGTATACTCAGTTTAGAGAACCTTGCCAGAGAGCAAGACAGGCAGGTGAGAAAGTTATAATGCCTTCATGTTCTATCTGTATTGTCAACTGTCTTTTCCTTAGCAAACATAGATGCTCTCCTGTGTCATCAAAGACAGAGCTTCTCGCAGAGCCCAGTGCCCAAAACAGCCATCTGGGTATGAGCTACACCCCAGATGCATCCGTCTAAGCTGATAACCTTACCTGGGAAAACAGGAGCTCCTTAGAAATGGGCATTGGTATGTTCAGAAGCCCTCTTTGTCCAGTCCGGTGAAACCCCTTCAAAGAAGCATGAATCTTTTGTGTGTACCATTTCCTGGCCTCAGACAGCAGGTAGCTTAAACCGAAGAAACGTCCTTGCCTCTAGAGACATAGATGGAGGGAGGGCTGAGCTTGAAGATTTCAAAGTTAGGACTCTCTTTGGGAATGTCTCAGAACAAAGGCAGTGAGGCCATTTAGACAATTTCCTTTGCCTCTTTCCTGTTTCCTCTCCTTGCCTTTTATGTTGCTTCTGTCCTTCCTTCTTGAGCTTTTCTGCCTTTTTTTTTTCCTCTTTTATCTTCCACCTTTTTCTCGGTGCCCTTCTGACCTCACTCTCACCATTCTCTGGAACTTTCTACCTTTCTCAATTTTGCAATTTTATAGAAATGAGGCTACTAACTCCATCGAGGGTATTGATAAAAATGGAACATTGGGCTGGGAGTTAGAAGACTTGACTTTATCACTTGCTAGCTTGGAGTGTTATATGCCTTGTTCGGGGAGGGGGGCCTCGTTTTCCCTAAGTTGGTATATTGTACCAAGTGATCTCCGTATCACAGTACTATAGTTTTATGTCCTCAAATGTTGTTTGACCCATGGGCTCCCATCTTCCTTCACTGCCACTGTTCTGTTCAGGCCACCATGGCATCTGGCTGGCTACCATACCGCTGCACTGGCCTCTCTCTCTACCTCTACATGCGTTTGCCATCCTCTCATTAGGAACTATCGTCAAAGGGACTTATTTTGAACATACCAGTCTTCTGTTTAAAACCTTTCGGGGAATAACTTCTGCCATTAGGATGCAATCCGAGCTCCTTGATGTGACTGACAGTGACCTTACCTCTCTGGCCTCATCTTCTCTTTGCACGCTCCCTTGGAGCCACATTGAACTGTCACTTGCTCAAGCACCATGCTCTTTCTGGCTTTGGATCCTTGCACATGCCTCTCCTCCTACCCAGGCAATCTTTCTTATCCTAAATCTCTTTAGTAACCCTACCCTGATTCTACCCTCTTTGCTAATTATTACTCATTCTTAAGGTGTCTGTATATATAGTGTCTCTTTCAGGAAGCCTGCCTTGATTCCCGATGGATGACAGGACCCTTCTTGGTGCTCCTCTAGCATTCTGTACTGTCCTATCGCAAAAGTATTGCAGTTTTGGGAATGCCTGGCTATGTGTCCTCCCAAGCTATGAATTCCTTGAATCATGGATTGTGTCTGACTTTTCACCACCATATCTCAAGGGCTGGGGGGGATGCCTGCATCATGGTGTATGTTGAATGCACAAGTGAGGAGGCCAACAGATACATCTATACTGGCACCTGTGGCTTCTCCATCATTATGGGTCAGGGAGGGAGCTCCAGGGACTCAGGGTGGCCAGGCCCAGTCCTCCAGGGGCCAGGGGTGGGCCGAGCCCTAACCTCAGCCCCATTGCCCACCCTGTAGCAGCAGCTGAGGCGACGCAGGAGACAGTGGAGTCCCTGATGCAGAAGTTCAAGGAGAGTTTCCGCGCTAACACGCCCATCGAGATCGGTCAGCTGCAGCCAGCCCCACGCAGGGCCTCAGCAGGGAGGCGGAAGCGGAGGAGCAAGTCTCGAGGTAGGCCCTTCCAGCACCTCTTGCCAGGGTGTCAGCGGGCTGTCCCCGGGTTCTGCGGGTCCAGGAAGAGCTGTGCCCCCTTCCCTTGCTTCCCTGGACTCATAGAATCATGCCACCTTCTCCCCGATCAGTCATCTCAGCAGAGGCTTGAAGGCAGCAGACCTGTGCCCCTGGGGGTGGAGCCAGTGTCTCTTAGCTCCGGCTGCCTCCTCGGAGATGGGAATGGACCAGCCATCTTTTGTACAGGCTGAGAAGACTAGCAACAGTCTATGGAAAGTGCCTAACAGGGGACCTGACGAGCACAGCCGATGCTCTTTAAATTGTAGCTGGTGTCACTTTGGAGGGCGCTAGGGAGGCAGATGTTCTCGTGGAAGGCAGTCCTCAAGCTTGGGTCCCAGAATGGGTTTTGGAGTCACTCTTGAAAATAGTATAGTATCATGGTCAGGCGTAGGAGCGCTGTAAACCAGACAGAATCAAAATGAAGTTTTGGCTCTGCTGTTAACTAATCACGTCACCTTGGGCAGGTGGCTCTGTTTCTCCAAGCCCCTCTTATCACAGGGTTGTTATGCTTTCTTAGCGTAGCACCCAGCCCAGCATGCAAGAAAAAGTAGATCTTTCCCTCCTCCTCCTCCTCCTTTCCCCATTCTCTCCTCCTCCTCTTCTTCCTGCTCTTCCTCCTCCTTCTCATCATCATCATCACCGTCACCATCACCTTTTTCTTTCTCTGGTCATCTCTGTGACTTTATAAATGGGATGAACCCCCTTATCATTGCCTGACATCCAAACTTCTTCCCTTAAGTCCACTCCATAACCTCCAGCTCCTCTCTGATTCTGGTCTCTCACATCTCTAGTTCCTGTGAACATGGTTCTGATGATGTCACTCTTCTCCCAGAGCTCCATTGGATGTCTGGTGCCCTCGGGAGTGTACAGGCTTGTGAAGGTGACATTCAGGGCCACTGCAGAGCTCTTGTCTCTCTGCTGTCTCACCTAAATCTGTGGGTTCCACTTCCATGTTCCTTTCCATGGCATTCTCTCTGTCTGAAATGACCTAACTGGACCCTATAAGCAATTGTTGTCATTTATTGATACTTACTCCAGGCAGCAGGCTAAGTACTAAATGCCTCTTATTTGATTCTCACCAATCTTGTGAAGGAGATACAGGGTGATTCCCATTTTACAGATGACATCCCCAAGGCACAGGAAGCTACAGTAACTTGCCCAAAGGGATGCCCTAGTAAAGGAAGAGCCAGGAAGAAATAACCTAGCTGGGTTACAAACTTTTTAACTAAACCATTGTGTTTTATTTTATTTTATTTTATTCTATTTTATTTTGAGAGACAGAAAGAGAGAGAATGGGGGAGAGGGGCAGAGGGAGAGAGAGAAAAAATCTTAAGCAGGCTCCACGTTCAACGCTGAGCTTGATTCCACAACCCTGGGATCACGACCTGAGCTGAAATCAAGAGTCGGACACTCAGGGTGCCTGGGTGGCTCAGTCGGTTAAGCGTCCAACTTTGGCTCAGGTCATGATCTCAGAGTTCGTGGGTTTGAGCCCCGCGTCGGGCTCTGTGCTGACAGCTCAGGTCCTGGAGCCTGTTTCGGTTTCTGTGTCTTCCTCTCTTTCTGCCCCTCCCCGGCTCACACTCTATCTGTCTGTCTCTCTCTCTCTCTCTCTCTCTGCGAAATAAATAAACATTAAAAAAATTAAAAAAAAAAAAAAAAAAGAGTCGGACACTCAACTAACTGAGCCACCCAGGCGCTCCTAAACCACTGTGCTCTGAGCTAGTGAGGTCCTGCCTGTTTTCCCAAACTTAGCTTGCATGGCACTCTGTGAAGGTATCACTGCCTGTTAGTCAGAATTCACTCTGAATTCTTACATGTGTGTGTTCTCCCATATCTTTCCATATGTGTTAAGTGCCGAGTTCATTTTTGTGTAATATAATTTGCTCATCCGGCTCTCTCCTTAGCTAGACGGACAATTCCTTGACGGCTGGAACTGTCTCACTATTTGAATCGTCTTGGCATTTGTGGGCCTCAATCAGTGGCTGCATGCATGGTAGACATTGCTTTTTGTTGAGACAATGCCTCGGTCTTTGTCCTGTGAAATCCTGAATCCTATAAAAAAACAAAAAACAAACAAACAAAAAAAAAAACCAAGATCGGCACATTAACCTGAGGTCATAAATCGAGGCAGAAGTTGATAATGGCGTTCCTTTCTGGAATTCACATGGTAAGCCCCAGGTTGAGCCAATGCATAAGATAAGTAAGTTGCTTTGAGGTCAGCAGTGTCCAGTACTAATTCCAGCCCAGTGAACTTCCACTGTGCGTGGCTTTCAAAGAATCAACTGGATGTCCCCGAGTCTCAGTCTCCTCTTCTGCACAATGGGGTGTCAATCCCTGCACCAGAGATCACTGTGAAGGTCTGACGAGATGGCGAATGTAGACACGGGGGAACGCTCAGCCAATGTGTGTCAGGAGCTGAATAGAATTCCGTCTTGTATTTGTTCTTTCTTATGTTTGTTCAGTGTCCCTGGTAGTTTCATTCAGCTTACTTATCCATCTGTTTTTCTTCTATCACTCACCAAGAATTCCCCTCTGAGACCCTCCCTGCAAATCCAGCCCCTGGGAGTACAAGTGGCTCCTGGTTCATAACCTCCGCCCTTCTCACCGCCAGTCCGAATTCATTTCCTTAGTGTCATGTCCTAAACGTGTGTTTTACCACTGAATTCTTTCCCTCACCCCCTAAATCCCTCTTAAGCACTGTAACTGTCTTAATGAGGCCTCTGTTTTGGGCATTTGCACCGTTTCTAATAATTCTGCATTAAACAATGCCATAAACCATGTCACGTGGAAGGGTTTTTTTGGGGGGGGAGGTTAGTCATCAAATTTAGTCTTCATTTTGGAATTTGTTTCCCCCTCTTAGAGTAGAATTTCAGAATTTTACTGTTAATGAAAACCTGTTGTTTGACTTAGATGATGATTGGATATCAAGTTATTTTGATTTGCAAGTCAAATTGGGCCTAGGAGCAACCAAAGGAATGGGAAAAGATATTTGCAAATGACATATCAGACAAAGGACTAGTATCCAAAATCTGTAAAGAGCTCACCAAACTCCACACCCTAAAAACAAATAACCCAGTGAAGAAATGGGCAGAGGACATGCATAGACACTTCTCTAAAGAAGACATCCAGATGGCCAACAGGCACATGAAAAGATGCTCAACGTCACTCCTCATCAGAGAAATACAAATCAAACCACACTGAGATATCACCTCCTGCT